GAAAAGCCATAATAATTATTCAAACAAAATCATACTCTGTGTAAGAGAGAGAGAGAGAGAGAGAGAGAGTACCATCCCTCAAGAAAACTAGGTTCTCTCCTTGGAGGAGCAGCATAATACTGTGGAGGTGCTACTACTGGAGGTCCTTGGTAATAACCTATATATATACGTTTTGTATTAATATAACTATGCATACGTGCATATAAGAAAATCTCTTACCTGGATTTTAGTACTTACTTTCATGTATATATTATGTGTGTGCGGGCGTGCATATGCACGATAGATCAAAAACTAGAGTGTGTAGGTGCAAAAATCAAGAACTAACAAATATTAAGATGAAAGGTTTACCTTGAGCAGGATAGGGATATGCATATTTTGGTGGTTCTGTACTCATTTCTGATACCCACAAAGACTTGTATGAACAAATGAATAGTGGTCAATTAGACGTGTATTAATTTATGAGGAAAAACAGCCACAATAAAGTGTAGTGTTGGGGTGGGGTGGGGTGGGGGGGCACATCAATTTCATATGCATCACACACAATATTTTTTTGCATTTTCTTTGTCGTTTTTCTTCTTTTCCTACAAATTTCTTTTTCGTTGTATATTTGCTTTTTCTCCTTTTGTTATCAAGACGTATTCCTTGTGCACTTTCACATGATAGTCCACATTCTCTTTTCTCTTAAGAAGGGATTATTTGTCAACTTGAGAGTGAGGTGGTAACATTTTGTTCGACCGAGCACCGGCCATGTCGAGTTAGACATTAATGGCACTGATAGAGGTCCATTGATTGGTCCCGTCAACAAATTTGAAATATGGTAGGAGTTATTTCAGACCATATTTTTCAATACATCAATCCAAAATCAGTAATAGATCTAAGAAATCGAGTCTAGTTGTAGACTAGCCCGTAATCAAATCTTGATGGTGAGCAAAGTTCTATATATTTCTAGTGTGAATTAACCAGTTGTGCATGAGAAATGAAATTAATGTGGATTAGATGGACCAAAAACAATTATAGACTATAGTTGATTAAATTGCAAACCTTATGTTTAAGAAATTAATCTGTAAAGGTAATATGAGGTTCAATTTTAGAAGTATTCAAGATGCTTCATTGCATAGGCTTAATTACCTAGTTAGTCACTGAGCGTTACGTAAAATTTTCAGGGGTACTAAACTTCAAAATAATTTTTGATAGTCACTGGACTTTATAAAAGTTTCTTTATTAGTCACCGAGTGATGGATAAAACTACATTTTGTGAAGTTCAATGACTAACGAGAAATTTTTTGAAGTTCTCATTGATGGATGTGATTCATTTGTAAAATCCAATAACTAAAGGGAAATTTTTTGAAATTCCATGACCTCTTCGAAACCTTATACAAAGTTCAGTGTCCAATCAAGTAATTTATCAATCTTTTTTAGTCTTTTCTTTTTTCTACACTCCTACCACCACAATTTTATTCTCTCTAACATCGTCAATTATTATTATTTTTTTAAAGCTTTTATCTTGAAGGTAATCGATAATGTTATTTGGTGACCTCTTTAAGATTAAAGAGACAATAGTAGTCCATGCAATCAACTATTTCGAAAGAGGACCCCTTTAGCATCAATCACTCCATAGAATTCAATTTTGAAATTCACACACATCTTCAGTCAAGAATTTAATAGATTCTTGATTTTTATTTTGGTGTGTCCTAATGGAAAGATGATAAAAACTGAAGCAACTTATAAAACTATCATTTACTGCCTATTTGATCTTATATAGGTGAGCAGACAACTTGGTAGATTATTTTCGAGACAAAATGCTATTCTCTTTTCTAAGTTTAGCATACTAGGATAATAAAATTGTAGGATGAGTACAAAACAAAATAAGAAAAAGACTAAAAAACATAGAGATTGATGTTTGCGTAAGGTTTACAAGGGATCACTAAATTTCAAAAGTTTCCCCTTTAGTCACTAAACTTTACAAATGTTTCCCCATTTGTCACTAAGTGATGGATGTGATTACATTTTGTAAAAGTCCATGAGTAATGAGAAAATTTTGGAAGTTCTCAGTGATGGATAGGATTACATTTGTAAAGTTCAGTGATTAACAGGAAAACTTTTGAAGTTCCGTGACATTCTAAAAAGCTTACGTAAAGTTAATTAACCCTATGTATGGTGTTGATGTCGTCTATAATTAAAATGTACTTTACAAAGAGTTAGGTATTATCCAAATTAATTTCCTATTTAAATGCTGCATATTTTTTATTAATTCGAAGCTATCAAAATTAAGTCAATGATTATATTTCAAATTCAAATAATTTAATCTTAATAGTTTAAACTTTTACAAAAGTGATATATATTAAAAGTTCTTATCTTACTATTTTTATTGGAACATGTGAAGATAAGATACAAAATATATTTACTGTACCTGAAAGGTGAACAGAGCCTATAATTTTCTAACTAGGGGGAAAAGAAAGAGCAATAAAAGAAAATTAATAGGGTTAAAATTTAAGAGTATATTTTATTATAACAATGACCCTTATATATAGGGTTTCAATTAGAGTTATAATTTGAATGGAATACACTCTTCTAAAGTGGGTAAGATTTATCTAATAGATTGTTTCATCAACGGAACTCGTTTGCACTTTTTAAAAAAATCTGAATCTCTAACTACAATTATTTACTTATTCATTAATTTTCTTTTCTTCTTGATTATTTAAAGATGAGGTTAAATTCGTCATTTTATAAGGCTTTAACATTGGAAATGGATGGTAAGAATGTTTTGCAAAAAAAAAAAAAAATCGATTTGAGGGTAAAAATGTCAAAATTGAAACTTTATGGTCGATTTGCGCAATGAAGGCAAAAGATACGAACATTTTATGCTAATTATCCTTTTTAAAATCAGACTAATCACTCAATTAAAAAATTAAGGGGGAAAGGTCAAAATGTTAAACTAGTATTGAACTCAAGTCGAATTTCATTTAAACGAACCAGTTTGAGCAACGGTTCAATTTTTAAAGAGCATATGTTAGGTAGTTCTCAGAATTTTCAATTTACAAGGCGAAGCTAGACTAGTTTTCAAACATTTGGGTTATGTGTGAGGAATGTGAGTTTTTAATTTGAGTGTTAAGTAAGAGATTATAAGATTTAGAAATGGATAAATACAATCTTGCTCGACTGCCAGAATTTTTTTAAAAACGAAATGCCACATGACATATTATCATTGGATTGTTAAAAGAATAGTCAACACTGTCATCCAATCATTTTTTGTCACAACTTAATCCGTCGCCCAAAGATGTTAAAAACATATGACAAAACAACATTATTCGGATAATTAATGTGTTGATGGCACTATTAGAGGGTCCCATCAAGAAATATTTGAGATGAGCTATTTATCATCATGATATATTATCAAGCGGGTAGTTTCCACTACCTGTCCAGGGTCGAGCGCAACTATAAGTGCCCAGGGACACAACAAATAGGTAGAAAAAAGACACTGGATTCATCAGTAGAACTAAAGGGCTGTGACTTATACGTATGAACTGGCTTGGACATGGCTGCAATGCGCATTCTTTATCAATTTTCCATAGTTTATCACGATACTTGGCTAAGTTAAAACTCCAAGTACATTCTCGAGACGTAGTAATTGACAGAACTAGACATACATTCAACAAAGTTTTAGCTTATTTTCGTGACAATGTCTGAAAACCGAAACATTTAACACAACAAAACGAACTGAAAGTAACGAGGGAGATAAAACACACTACGTAAATGCACAACTTGAACGAGTTCTCAATGAAAATTATTAAGAATTATTAATGTTCTTATGAAATTCGAATAGATGAATCAATTTGTGGTTGTAGAATGTGTTGTACAGTCATTTTACACAATTATGATCAGCTCACCCTTTCACCTACATCAGTCATATCTGTCGGGATAAAAGCGCAAGTTACCTTACAGAAGATATTTGATGATGTAGGGCTATCAATTTTTATGATCAAAGTGTTGAATAGAAGGAATCTGCACTGTCCAGAATCCGGATTAAGATGAATTCACAAAGAAACCCTCCAACGAAAATCCATTTTGAGTGATGGACTGAATTTAGACTCTTTCACATTTCAATTGAAAGAACATGCTCCATGTCTTCTAATATTAGAATATGATCACCCAAGGGCAATATTCTGTTTCCATGTTCATCTGCAATGCTAAGATGTTTGCACGGGTCTACCAGAAAGCTCATTTCAGCAGTTTTATAGGATAGTGTGTTGACGCGCTCAAATCCAATAAGCTGTCTTTCGGGAGAACCCTTGAAAGATTTTGATGTTCTTGAAAATAACAGAACAACTTGGCTTCCATCCATGTCTCCATTATTTGTCACAGAAATCTGCACGTGGAACCTCAATGAGTTGCAATATTCCACCTTATCAACAAAAATATAATCGAGGCTATTACTTCTCTCAGAAAGCATGTTCCTTCGTTGTCCAGCCTTGATAAAACCCCATAAACTCAGTTTGCTTGGAGCTGCTAGAATTTTGTATGTAAAACTTGTGTAGCTTAATCCATATCCAAACCCATAGAGTCTATCTCCAATGTAAAACCGATAGGTTCTTCCTGGGTAATTTTGAGAAGGATCAGCTCGCATGTTCATGTCGCTCATTGGTACACTGGTAAATGACTCAGGATACCAAGTCATGGGTAGTCTTCCGCCTGTTTTCATTTCAAAAATTGCATCAATATCTAGTGTATCACGATTCTATGCAGGATCTGAAAATCGCATTTACGAACCTGGATTACAGTGTCCAAAGATAATATCTGAGAGTGCTCTTCCACCAGTTTCTCCAGGGTAACCAATCCAAAGAATGCTAGCAATACGCAGGTCTCCCTTGGCAAAGGATATGTCAATTGGTCCACCACCGGTAAGAACTAAAATCAGTGGTTTCTTACTTGAGGCAGCAACAGAATTAATGAGTTCCGTCTGATACCCAGGCAAGAGAAGACTATACCGGTCATGGTCCTCTGTTTCTTGTGATAAATCCAATCCAGCCACAACAATTACATATTCGGCTTCTGTAGCAATAGACAGAGCTTCTGCAAAACCAGAGCTTGAATTGCAAGGTATATCTTTGCAACCCGCAGCATAATACGTGTTCTCTACATGTTCTTGGAACCCTTCAAGAATGCTTTTTAGTTCACATGGAACTCCTACAAAAGGGACAAAATTCCAAACAGCCAATTTACATACGCATATTACCTAGGAGAATCTTACAATAGTCTTGATTTTCATTGTGTACTATTTCTTCTCAGTGCAAATAGAATTACCATAAAAGAACTATGTTGAGGACATGACCTTTCGAATGTCCTGTAAATATAAAAGCTTTGACAGGGGTGACGGTGTATGATGGAAAAAGTAGCTTGACTCAAATATTTCCCAAGAAATCATTGACAAGATCACATTTTGAATTTAATTTGCCTTCATTCATACGTTAAATTAGATGTTTGTGGATGTTGAAGACAATTTAAATAAATAAATTTGTCCCTTTCTAACATTTTAAACTTTAAAATGAACTAAATTCAACATGTTCTCAGACCTAACAAAAATGTAGGGTCAAGTCCCGCATGCACTCATTTACAAAAGATATCCACTTGCCAAGCCTGTAATGAAAAAGATTTAAACAACCACCCAAGCTTCAAAATCAGCTGATTCAAAATGGTCTCAAAGCTAACAAAAATCTGAGGTCAAGTCTTCCTAAACTCTTTTACAAAAAATGTCCACGTGGTAAGATTATGATGAAAATAAACCCATAAATTGTATTTAAAGGTAAGGGCTCGTTAAATAAAACTCTGTAAATGTAGAATATCCATACCTACATAGCCACCGCCCAAATTGGTTGAATTCGCAAGAGGGCCGATAATGGCTAGTGAAGAGATACCCTGTTTATGTAATGGCAGGAATTTCTTGTCATTCTTTAGAAGCACAATACCCTGCCTTGCTGCTTCAAGAGCCAACTTCTTGTGCTCTGAAGAACATACGTCTCGAGGTCCAAAGTTCCGGTATCGATTTCTCATAGAAGCTCCATCAAAAAGACCAAGTCGGAGTTGTACAGAAAACAGATTGAGCAATGCTCTGTCTATGTCTCCCTCCGAAACCTTCCCCTGCTCGATTGCAGCTTTAGTGTGCCTTAGCATATACGTTCCACAATTAATATCAGTTCCTGCCATATAGCGGGTATAGTAAGCAAAATCATACGAAAAGAAAAGGGGGGATGTGAAATATCCATAACATATGTATCAGATGGACGTCAAGTGGTTGATATTATCCATCCAGGACCAAAACTTCTTGTTTTAGAGGGTGAATCCATCCAATTTGATCAACCATTAACGAGTAATCCTAATGTGGGCGGATTTGGTCAGAGAGATGCAGAAATAGTACTTCAAGATCCATTACGTGTCCAAGGCCTTTTGTTCTTCTTGGCATATGTTATTTTGGCACAAATCTTTTTGGTTCTTAAAAAGAAACAGTTTGAGAAGATTCAATTGGCCGAAATGAATTTCTAGACTCGCTGATTTATCGACATCCAGTTCGTAAAAAGAACCAAATTCTTGTTGTCGATTATGATTTTGTATGATAAAAAAAATGAAATTATGAAAAACCTTTTTAATCATAAATTTGACATAAATAATAGTTATGTGGGAGTGTTTGTACTAATATCCAAGGAAAGCATATGAAACCTGCTTTGAGAGCACTGGCAACTGCATCCTCTGGTGTTTTTGCGTATTTCTGGTCTTCATATATAGTAGCCACAGCATCACAATCCGAAGGAATGTATCTGTATCATGGTATGAAGGAACATAATTATAAGTCTCTGCAAAATATCAGATTGCTCACGTATTATTATAAAAACGGGAAGGAAAATACCACCCTTGAAAACCCCATTCGGTTCGAGCTTTCTGTAACAGATTGTGATTTGCACATGCTGGTACTCCATTTACACTATTGTATGAACACATCAAGCAGCTTGCATTACCCTGCTGGATGCAAGCCCGGAATGGTGGCTGATATGTGTCTGCCATATCCTGATCTGTTACCTGAATTTACATGCATACAACTAAAGCTTTAATTTCAAGAAATATTAACTCAACATCATATTAAAATTTTTGCTTATTTTCCATTGATATAAATGTTCTCTTATACAGGAATTAATTTCTCACAATTCTGTTTTTGAAGGCTACGACAGACGGACTAAATCCATTTTGACAAATTAACCCTAGTATAGCAATAGCCAACAATCTTAAAGAATTACACATTTACACTTGGGTTCACTTAGTAACTTTTAATTATACTATGGTCAACTTCCTTCCTTTCCATTTTGTATGTAACAGTCCAAGGTCTACAACATATTGGTCGAAGATTAAAAAAAAAAAAAAAATTGTCGCTCTTTCCTAGTGTTTTAAATGAAGTGGTATCTTGCCACAGTTGTAAAAAATAAAACTAGTTTGACCGTGAATAGGCGCATTGAAGACAAATCATCCTCTCTAATTGCTTAAACTTTTAGATGAGGTCCTTCAAAAACACCAGTGATTAAAGCAGAATAAAATCACACTTCAAATGAATTGATAGTTGCTGAAAATAATAATGTATAGTATTTAGTTTTGTTAATTATCTCTAAGCATGCAATTAATAAAATGAACTAGTTTGCTTGCAACTATCTCCATACTGCTTTTTCACATCAAATATTCAAGCACCTAATCAAATGAGTCAAACACTAATACTTATGTTTTAAAATTTGAAGAAAATACCCTATAATAACAAAAAAAAAAAAAAAACAACAAACCGAGCCCTACTCCTAATAAATTTGGAGCCAGCTACATAATTTTTTGCCGTCATTCAGTTTGGTTCATTACTAGATCTGCTAAGAGTATATAAAGAAATAAAAGCCGATATGGATCAGGAAAGTTAGGAACTGAGATCAAAGAAACTTTACCACAGCATTGAAATTATATCTGGTGTATTGCCCCCATTTCTCCAAATCATAAGCAGTGAAATGTTTGCAACAAGCAGACAACATTAATTTATCACTCCCATAATCATTTGTCAACACTCTCCTTTGCAAAAACCCATGTTTATGTCTCCTCCAAATTCTCTTATTTTGACCCTGAAATGCCCTCACATACTCTATAGCATAAGCAGCAGCCACCATAGGGTCTTCCCCAGGAGTTTCTTGACCCCTCCCCCATCTGGGATCCCTAAAAATGTTAATATTAGGCGCCCAAAATGTCAATCCAGCTTGTCCCATGTTGTACATGGCCCTGGCCTCAACTGCTATAGCCGAAGCAATCTCCGCCCATAGGGTTCTGTTGAATGCCGCCGCCGTGAGGATGACTTGGGGGAAGCTTGTGGCGGATTTAATAGTTCCATTGAACGTGATCCCAGGTCCATTTGTGGCGACGCCGTGGAGGGATTCCGACCACCACTCATACGGAGGAATTCCCAGCCTTGGAATTCCGGAAAAGTTGTTGCAGAGGAGTTGGATTTTTTCATCGATTGTTAAGAGGGAGATTAAGGATTCTGCTCTGTTTTTGGTGGGATTCGAGGTATTGCAAAAAGGGTAGGAATTGAAGTGGGGTGGAATGCATGGATACTGAAGAATATTGGGATTTGAATTCTTGATTGCATAACAAGGAGTGGATGAAGTGAGAAATTGAAGATAGTGTAAAATGAGGAAGATGATGAATCTTGAATGAGCACACATTATTGGGGAAATTAAGGATGTCTTGATCAAGATTCAATTTGTTTTTGAGTTTGGTCGATTTAACACTGGAACCTGTGGTTGGAAAATTATGAGTGGGTTTGATGCATATCTTTTAGGAGAGAATGTTGTTTTTTTTTTAGGTTATGTGATGGAGAATATATGGTGAAAAAAGTAAGAAAAATATTACGTTATTAAAAAATACGTGAGTAAAAAAATGAAAATTGTGGCTCAAACAGGGGCTATATTGGCCCATCAATTCTGAATAATATTTTGATTATTCACATTTCAAAGTAACGATTGTCACTTGTCAATAATAATTTCAGCATTTTGCGCTCAAGGTAAAATATATTCATTGTGTATGGAGACACGACTACTCGATTAAGCATTGAGTAGCACTTTAGTTTGACTTGAGCTATAAAAGTACGAGATCATTCTTGATCCTAAATCTATTTGATTTCAACATTTTTTGTTTTAAGTGAAGAGATATTTTCTCTATCTTTCTTAAGAGTGTGTTTGATACACATTAAAATTGAAAAAATGTATATTTTTTGTGATGTGATAGTAAATATGTGGTTGAAAAAGAAGGAAAAATTATTAATATGATGAAAAATATTATTTTATTGAAAAATGTGTGATTGAAAATTAACAGAAGAATGAGAATGTGACTCAAATAAGAACTAAATAAACATTGCATTCATTTTATATGCTTGTTAAAATTGTTCTTTGAGCTACATTTTTTGCGCGTTTTCTTTTTCAGTAAATATAGCTCTCAATTGAGTTCCATTTTTCTAGAATAGATTTGATAAAAAGTGATTTTTTGAATATTGTGTGAGATTAAAAAGTAAGAAATTTTTTGAATTTACACGTAAAATTATTTCATTAAAAAAATATAATTAAAAATGAGTTTGAGAATAATTTATTCGAAGAATCTAATGGCATACAAGAAATGACATTATATGAAGAATGATGATGTATTTTTGGTTGGACAGGATGGCCTTTTATGAAGTACCCATTCCTTGTCTTTTACATTAAGAAAATATCACTTTCTGTTTGGGTTCTTTACTTTTAATAAATTAAGCCATTTTTGAAAAGGTAACAATCTATATCAATATTCTATATATATACATTGGCATTGTGACGTATCAATATTTAAGAAAAATACTATATTGTTACTCTTGAAAAAGAGTATTATATTTGTAACATTTGTTATGATTATAATATTATATTGGAATGAAGGAATATATATTAACATGTTGAATCCATTCAATTAATTATTGTACTAATAGTTAGACTAGCATAATATAATAGTGAATACAATACAACATTATATTGAGCCCTTGTTTGAGTTCCAATTCATTTTTTTAAAACTCATTTTTAATCATACATTTTCTAATAAAATAATTTTACTCGTAAATCAAATTTTTTTCTTATTTTTTAACCCTACATTCTCAAAAAAAAAAAAAAAAAATTATTCTAAAATACATTTTCCAGCCAAATGGAGCTCAAACGAGGGAATGTTCAATAATCAATACACGTTTGTATTCTATTTTTTATGTTGACCAATAAATTATTGATTATTGTATTTCGTTCTTAATTGCATTGTGGTTGATGAATGAACACAAAATTCACGTATCTCTACTATTTTAAAAGAGGCAATCCACCATTTACTGTTTATTTGTGAAGCATTTTTTTATCCCCATCTTAGCCATAGCCATCTTCCACCATCCATCCAAGAAGCTTTAAAACAAAAGGGTAATATGAACTTTCTCGTACCCACAATTATTGACTCTTCTTATGTCTCTGAGATAAAGGAAAAAGAAAAAACGGAAGCAACCATTTACTATTGGTAGTGAATTATAAACTTAATTGTATTCCTACTTTCCCATCTTATCCATATCTATTCTGAAACGACAACTTCTTTCACAAGTTCTCTACTTCAAACCACAACATCAATTTCATCTTCACTAGCAGGTTAACGGAGGTTACAATTCAAAACTAAATCGTATATTTTGCGATTTTCGAATTCCCTACAGCAAGCATAAGAAGACTGCGAGGATTTTGTACAAAATTGTTGAAATTTGTGTTGAACTCAGAAAATCAATTCAAACCGAAAATAGGTCTTTTGGGTTGTAAGTTGTTCTCTAGAAGTTTTCCAATTGTAATATTAAGGGTTTGTTTAAGCTCATTCTTTAGAAAAATAAATTTATGTGCAAGAAATTATGATTCCAATAAGAAGATGATGGCATAATAAAAGGGAGTTATTACCGTTCACTTCCACATGTTCTCCATTCGGAAGCAAAATACATAGGAGCTTATTCATTTGTAATGAAAATAAATTCACGAACATTACTTCCATCTTTAATTTTTCGAATTAATTCATGTATAAAAAAAAAAAGATATAGGCGTCGAAGCATGTTACTTAACATTCATCAGCATTTACATTACATGAACATTTAAATTACCACTGTAAGGTCTGAATTTCTTGACTTTGCAAAAAGGACTTAGGATGGTACTGCAGCACAGTAACTGCAACCGGACATCGCGCCTTCTTCCTCTTTTCTCTAAGCATGTTACTTAACATTCATAAGCATTTACATTACATGAACATTTAAATTACCACTGTAATGTCTGAATTTCTTGACTTTGCAAAAAGGACTTAGGATGGTACTGCAGCACAGTAACTCCAACTGCACATCGCTCCTTCTTCCTCTTTTCTCTGCGGTGCGAGGAGAGGACGAGCCCCTTTTCCTCTTCTCTCCGTAGTGCGCGGAGACATGGATCTGTGCACACGCGGTCTCCACGTTGCGCAGAGACACTATGCGGATCATGTCTTCTCCTGCGCAGAGCCGCGGGAATGCTTCTCTCCGCGGAACGTCATTTGTCTGTTATATTTTACATGCACGGAGAATGACAAATAAAGATTTCATTTAACTTCCATCAGACACGACTCTTCAACACGTACACGAAAATCAGAATCGATTCCAGTTTCGAAACGACAAACCATTTGCATAACAACAATAAACAAATAAATAAATTATGAAAAAATATCTAACAATTTTTCAGTTCAACTATGTAACATAGTTAATTTGTTTTGATGTTATTGAAAACTTAGGCAATTCTATACACAACTTTATTGCTAAACAATAAAGTATATATACGAACTTACCACTAACATTACCTTCAAAATAACGTAACATGTGCATTGCATGGGCAATAGACTAATATAAATAAAAAGATAGGATACAAGCAGAAGAGAAAATCCAAGGATAAAACGAAAAGTAAAGCTAAAGAAAAAAAATGTTTTTACTGTCAAGAAAAAATTCATTTTATCAAGAATCGCCCAAAAAGACTTGATGATATGAGAAATAAGTCTAAAATTTATGGAAGAGCAGCTTTAGCATATAAAGAAGAGGCTAATGTTGATGTAAACTCAACCTAGTCAAGAATCTCTAGTTGCACTTTCCACATTGTCCCAAAATACAACATGGTTTACTGAGTTTGAAAATATAAATAGGGGTCAAGTTCTAATGGATAATAATATGTCATTTCAGATTAAGGGGTTCACATTAAAGCTAAAGGATATTAATGATCCTGCTCTAGAAAAAGACTAGTTATGTTCCTTATTTGTTGAAAATATTCTTTCATAATGTAGCGGTTCATATTATGAAAAATATAAACCTTAATTCTCTTTTAAAAATTATGTTTTAAATGTGCAGGATATTTCAACATTCCAACTGGTAAAAGTAGGGTTAAGTATAGTTTTCTAAATGGGCTGTTAAGGAATCCATCTAACTAGAGGCCCAATAAAAAGTCCATGATAGTATGTGGGCTATTGTGCAACAAAGTAACAATTTGATCAAACTATTTAAATCAACGTAATAACACTAAAAATTTATGTCCAATTTAGTAAATAAAAAAAATTAAAAATGTGGTGTAACAAAAGATTTTCGTGGTGGCAATATAATCAGCCGTACATAAATACTCACTCTTTATTAGAATTACAAAAACATCCTCTAAGAGGTACTTTTATAACATATTATATCCTATAAGCAAAACCCACATTTATTTTTAACATTTTACTCCTTTCTTGAATACGATTTTGAAATTTTTATTACGTTAATAGATTTTTTTTTCCTTTCTTATTACTTCTTAAAATATTTTTTAACTTTTTAAAAAAATATTTAAAATTTAGAAATATATAATTTATTTTTACACTTTTTCTAAAAATAGTTAACAATAAACATAAATTAGTTAATTAAAATTCCTTAAATATTTTATATCGCTTGATGAAGTAGCATTAGGTCTAATTTTTATTTTATTTTTTATCATAACACAAAAAATGCAAGATTTTTTTTCTTTTGCCCTTTTGTGAATTCAAAAATGCAATAAAGTTAAAATTTAGATTTCGATTAAATTCATTTTTGCAGTAAATATTTTAGATAATTTTCCAACATTTTATTTAAATGACAAATCAATTTTCACAAACAATATGATTAAAATGAAATATTCTAATAAACAGAGAAAAATGAGATTTTTAAAACTAGTGTCTATATAATTACAATAAATTTTAAGGGAAATTTTGATAATTTGTTCATTAAATGATTTATATATATATATTTTTTGCAATAAATAATATGGTGTCACATGTGAATATTTGGCAAAATCTATAGAAATGGAATAATTGGTGAATAAATGAATGGAGCAGACATGAAATATTATAAATAGTATAGAGACATATCAGTCGACATATTGTCTAATCACACTCTAGAACAAGATTTTGGTGGGGGAGAATTTCATGACATAATTTAGCTAACTCAGTCAACATTAATGTCTAAATTTTAAAAATAACCTAAGTAAATATTAGTATTGCATTACTAAAAGTTGGCGAGCGTTGTATAAAATTTTGTCACACAATTAACAAACTCGATATTAATAATATCGTAATTACTTTTGTGGTTATTTATGAAATATTGAGGATTTATGTTCCTTAAAAAATTGAT